ATCTGTAATGAGATCTGGCACCCTCTTCTGGCCTGCAGACATACATGCAGACAGAACATTGTATGCATAATAAATAAATAAATCTTTAATAATAAAAAAAAAAGAGAGAATAGACTACTGTGTCTACAAGCCAAATCCATCTGTTTAGTTAAGGTTTCTATTGCTGTGATAAAACTCCATGACCAAAAGCAAAAAGACAGGTTATAAATCACTAATCTCTCCAAAAAAAAAAAAAAAAAAAAAAAGAACCTATTCCATGGCCGGGTGGTGGTGGCACACGCCTTTAATCCCAGCACTTGGGAGGCAGAAGCAGGCGGATCTCTGTGAGTTCGAGGCCAGTCTGGTCTATGGAGCGAGTTCCTGGTCTATGGAGCAAGTTCCAGGACAGCCAGGACTATACAGAGAAACCTTGTCTGGAAAAGCCAAAAAACAAAAACAAAAACAAAAAAACTATTCTCAGCTCTAAGCACCCAGAAGATCAGACAGAGCTAGTGTTCCCGGGGACCTGGGAAGGCGTGTCCTGGTTGAAGACTGCACAAGCCAAATAAAACAATAAACTAGAGAGTATTAATTACACCCTCCCAGCCACCTCCTGCACCTGAGTGTGACCCTGCCCATCCCATCTTCAAAGTTCATCCGTTCTAGATCAACAGTTGCCGGATGAGTGAGTGAACCCTGAGTAGCCAGCTCCCTCCAGTGACGTGCACAGCCAGGGCCCGCACAGCCAGGGCCCGCAGAGCCAGGGCCCGCACAGCCAGGGCCTGCACCTCACATTTCCTTCACCTGTTGTGCCCAGCCCAAGCCATTCCCATCACACAGATTTAGTTCAGAAAGCCAAACCCGGGGCTGCAGGGCCATTCAGCTATGGAAGCATGTGCTCCGTGCGTGCGTGCGTGCGTGCATGCATGCGTACAAGGTCCTGGCTTGGATCTCCAGCACCCAAAAGCAAAGAAGCCTTCCAGGCCACACTGCCAGTCCATGCCTAAGGGCTAGGAGGCGGAAGGAAATGCAGCTCTCCCCAAGGGCGGGTCATTCCCACACCACGGGGCCCTGCTGCCTCGCAGCTGCTTCCAGGCGCCCCTGCAGCGAGCTGGGGGATGAGACTGGCTTTGCCGAGGAAGGCCTGACCTCACCTTTCACCTCCACCTGTCTGCAGTGGCAGGGAGACAGCTGTCCTCAGCAGCCTTGGGAGCTCCCTTCTTCTCCCCTGAGGACTGCCACCCAGATAACGCGGGATCCTCGACGACATCGCAGAAAAGAATTTCAGGACGAGCCAGGTGAAGTCGGTAGCAAAGTAAATTTTTTTTTTTTTTTGACACAGGGTTTCTTTGTGTAGTTTTGGAGCCTGTCCTGGAACTCGCTCTATAGACCAGGCTGGCCTCGAACTCACAGAGATCTGCCTGCCTCTGCCTCCCGAGTGCTGGGATTAAAGGTGTGCGCTACCGCCGCTTGGCCAAAGTAAATATTTATTAAGCATAGTGAGTCATACATGAAAAGGACAGTACATATCCCCCAGACAGTTGCAGATTCTGGAGAATCGCATTTGAGTGTCTTTCTATATCCACATATACATATGTGTATGTATGTATGTATGTATGTGTGTGTATATGTGTGTATGTATGTGTGTGTATGTATGCATGTATGCGTGTATGTATGTATGTGTGTATGTGTGTGTATGTATGTATGTGTGTGTATATATGTATGTATGTGTGTATGTATGTATGTGTGTATGTATGTATGCATGTGTTGGTCAAGCCTGGCTGGTCAGAGTATGGGAATTAAATTATGTGCCAGTACACCTGGTTTATGCTTAGGTTTTTTTTTCCCAATAGCTTCTAAGTTATGTTCTCAGAGCTGTAATCTCCAAGTTTTAAAGATTCAACAAAACTGAAAACCTAAGTAAAGTGTTTAAATTAGGTAGAAATATGTGAGCTGGCTTATTTTTTCATCTGAAAGAGTTTCCTTTCATACGGTGGTTTTATGAGGTGCACTGTTTAGGGTTAAGGGCGAGAGAGGAATGTCAGCGCAGTAAAACTCAAGATCGCCGTTAGGTCCCAATGAAACTCAGGGCATGGGGCTAACTGAGGTACCTATGTCAAAAACATATTAACATATCATAGAGCTTGGCTCTAAAGGAGTGGGTCTCAACCTTCCTAATGCCACGACCCTTTAACACAGTTCCTCATGGTGTGGTGACCCCCAGACCACAAAATTATTTCGTTGCTACTCCATAACTGTAATTGTACTGCTGCTATGAATCATAATGTAAATATGAAGGCTATCTGATATGCAACCCCCAAAGGCTGAGAACCACTGTGTAACAGTCCTGGCTCCTCTCACCCCTGCCCCCTACTAAACCTTTCCAGACCCCGAGCTTCTCTTTCCTATAAACACTGCTATTTGGGCCTTGCCTCCTCTTGCTTCTTCTCCTGGCCCTCAGCTCCTCTCTTGATGGGTTTGCCCTCTCTTCCTCTCCCTGCCCCCCCTCCCCCCATGGCCTGGCTCAGTCTACCGGCCATGCCTAGTCTACTGCTCTCTCTCCGCTCTGGACTCTTCCAGATGCCTCTGGCTGTTCTCTTCCCCCATATCTACAATAAAAACCTTCTCAACCGTATCTGGGAACTGTCACGTGCTCGTTTCCACTCGTTGTAAACATTCCGGGTCTCATTTGTTTGTCCTGTGGAGTGCTCTGGTTTGAGTTAGTTGTCTTTAGGGAAACTCACATTATCTCAGTAGGAACTCTGGGCTCTTAGCTATTGAGGTTTCTTGACTCCTTAGTGTGTGGGAAAGACACTCTAGCTCCTGGGGGGAGGGCCTGCTTCTCGTTCCCCCTCAGTTTTTCCCTTTCGTTCCTCTTCCCTGTCTCATACTGGCTGGGATCTGGGGGGCAGGCAGTGGGCAGAGGGGGAGGCCATCCGAGGCCCACTAGGACTACTGGAGGATGGTGGGTTTTACTGAGAGCACAAAACACATTAAGTCCAGTGGACCAAAGATGGAGCAATATATACATATTTCCCGAAGCCCAGCTCTTCAAACCGTGGGTCACAACAGAGCAAGCATTAATTCAGCATTAAAGGTGTAATGAGTCCTGGGCGTTTCTGGCAGCGTTCACCCACGTCACAGAGTGCGACTTTGCGGCAGCCTTGGTTCTGAACACACAACATGCACACTGCACCATGCATGCCACATGCACACATGCATGCACACAGCACCAGCCAGTGCCGCCTGCAGCCCTCGGCTCAGATCTGCGACGGCGGCACGGTTCGAGCTGCAGTGTTTTTACTGCACATCCAAAGTTTTCTGTTCTCACAGAAACACCGAGGTTTAATTACAAACGCTTTCAATATTTTCCTGCTGTCACCCTCAGCATGTGTCCCATGAATATATCTCTGGGTTGTATTGTGTAAGAATATCTGATTTTAAAAACTGCCGTTTGAACTGCTGACTTGAGTTTCATAAAAAGAATATCATTTGCCGGGCGGTGGTGGCACACGCCCTTAATCCCAGCACTCAAGAGGCAGAGGCAGGTACATATCTGTGCGTTCGAGGCCAGCCTGGTCTACAGAGTGAGTTCCAGGACAGCCAGGGCTACACAGAGAAACCCTATCTTGAAAAAACAAAAAACAAAACAAAACAACCCCCCCCCAAAAGAATATCATTCAATGAATTGTAGCTTGAGATTAAGACAGAATTTAAGACAATTTTCTGAAATGACTCTAAACATATTTCTGCTCTTTTGTACCCAGCATTTATGTGGTTTATGTGAATTAGTGTTCTCGGCATTAACAATTATAATTCCATCACTTCTGAAAAACACTAAGATATTCCATGTCCTAGGGTATAAAATGTTCAGCCAATGTCATATTTGCTATGTAAATATAGATAATTACATCCAGTTCACGGCTATACGAATTTGTTTCCATCTTTAATAAATGGTAAAAATTATAGGTATACCTAAGCATTGCTTTAAAAATTCTTTATGAATTATTTCCTGTAAACATTTGATGGGCTACATGTTTTGTGTCTCTGTATAGCGAGGGTGGCATGCAAGGAGTGAGCCAAAAAAGTTTAAGGCCTGCCGTAAAGAACTTTTCCCGCCAGAGCAGTCCTACCCTGGGAGCAGATGGCCTGGAGAGTTCTGGCAGGCACCCGGGTCACTGTACTCTTCCTGTACCCACAGCCAGACCAGGTCACAGTGTCTCAGCCGCCCCTGGGCTCCCAGACCAGGCAACAAGCATCCCAGAGCCCGAGTTAGACGCCGGGTTCCTCCTCTGAGCCCCGCTGCCTGGAGGACTGTAGGAAAGAATTGCCCAGCACCCAGGCCACTGTGGACCCTCGGACCTCGGCCTCCTCCTCCCTCCTCAAGAGTGAGTGGGAACAAGGGAGCAGGAACCAAGAGCTGCCACAGGGTTTGAGGTGAGAAGTTCTTGTCACAGCTCTAAGGCTACCTCGTGGTGAGCCACAGAGTCAAGTCGGGGTGGGGTGGGGGTGGGGGAGAGTCCAGCCTCCAGGCTGAGGGCCCAACCTCTGGGATGCGCTTTCCAGATCTGCCCTAACCGGGGTCTCCTGCAGCAGCCCAGAGGGACTTGGAACCCCGGGCCCACCCACTCTGATACTCTCCTAGCACCCGGGTGGGTGGGAAATTTCTCTCCCACGGCTCTTACTCTGGCAGGAAAGGCCCAAAGCCCCAGAGAGAGAGAGCAGAGGCCCAGATGGCCTCATGTCCCCTGGATGAAGGCTCCTGGTGTTCGCTGCCGTAACGGATGGGCAAAGAGGAAAGGGGGTCAGCTTCTTTGGGGGGCGGGGTATGTGATCTCAGAAGAGGCACCAACCAGGGTCATCTCAGAAGAGCCGCTGTGCTGCAGAGAGCTGGCCTGTAGCCCGGGCCACACTGGCTTTGAGAGAGAAAGCCCAGACCAACAGAACCCCTGGCTCTGCACCAGCCAGTCAGCCCTGGGTAAGCTGCCTATTTGGCAACACTCTTCCTGAGAGCCCAAGGAGGAGGGACGTGAGACTCCAGTCAGTGGGGTGACAGGAAGCAGGGTGTGGCAATGCCAGGCTGGGCCAGGCCCGGAAGGGCTTTGTCAGCCCCAGGGTGAGCCTGGAGTGCCACCTGGCTTTGGACTGCCCACCATCAGGCCAACACCATTTTCCTGACGACCCACGCACCTCCTTCGATGCTGGCCAGTGGGGCGGCAGGCCACAGAGTTATCTGTCTGGACACCAGAGCTTGAGTGAGAGGGGCAGCCCCTTCCCTGACCTTTATGTTCCCCAGCCAGGTTCGGGGTGGGATGTGGGGTGGGGGTGGGGTGGGATGTGGGGTGAGGGGGTGGGGGTGGGCAGGAAGGATGGAGAGGTGAGCTTTGACAGCCTCCAGGCAGGAAAGCGCAGCATCTCACACTACCCTTGGGACAATGATTGGGCTTGCACACGCCCACAGATTCCGCCCCTGCCCCAGCCCTAGGCTAGAGAACAGTGTGTGTGTGTGTGTGTGGGGGGGGGATCCCTGGGCATAGCCTGAGGCCACTGTGGCAGAAGCGTGAACTCCTCCGAATCCAGGAGTTCCCGAGGAAGTGTGTGAGTGGGAGGGATCCCTGAGAAGGAGGAGCTGCCGGTTCTCCTGGGGAGATGTGGGATGTGGGAGAAACAATGCCCATTTCCAGTTCAAGTGTTAGACAACCGTCCTCCTGCAAGGGACCCTCGTGACCCATAGGAAAGGCTGGTAGGCTGACAGGGGGGGGCTATAGATCCATGGTGCTCATTCAGCACATGGAAGGCCCCGAGTTCAAGCCCCAGCCTGACGGGAAGAGCCCCTAAGAAGGTCCTAAACCCAGAATGGCAGCACACACCTTTAATCCCAGCATTCAGCAGACAGAGGCAGGGGAATCTCTGTGAGTTCCAAGCCTGTCTGCTCTACATAGTGAGTCCAAGACAACCAGAGCTACATAGTGATGTTCCATGTCAAAACAAGCACCACCAGGAAGAAGGAGGAGGAGGAGGAAGAGGAGGAGCAGGTGGTGGTGGTCCTGGGCATGTCTCAGTTTACAGGATACCTCCCTCCTTCTGGTTCCTCATTTCATCACAGCCTTGGGAAACGGGTTGGCCTGAGGCTGTGCCATGGTGCTCTGCCCATGTGGGGAAGCGTGGTCCCAGGCTCCGGGGAGAAACTACCCACTGTCCCTAAGGTGATTCCTACTTGGGCACAGCCAGGACAAGCTGGCCACTGTACTACTGCCTCCCCAGGAATCCACAGAGAGCAGGCAGGCCCCTCAGCTTGCAGGGCCTCAGACCTGGTGTCTCCTCACCCAGCCTGCAGAGCTGTGGTCAGTCCTATGCTCCCTCTGTCACCACCCAAGAAGAGGGTCCAGAATCTGCATTTTAACACGGTTACACTTGGACGGACCCTAGCCAGCCCAGGTCTGGAGAGCGTGTGGCTCTGGCAGGCCTTGCCCTTCATCCCATTCCCTCTGCCTGCTAAAAACCGTTAGCTTACATCCCTAAAGCTGGCCACCAAGGTCTAGTCCCTTATTTGGCCACTTCCCCCTCCTGAGGCTGACCACCAAGGTTCAGTGATCAAAGTATTGAAGTCCAGCAATCAAAAGTCCCCTTTGGCTACCCTAATTAACAGGCCCAGTTAAAATTAAAATTAAACACCTCATCCTAACAGAGGGCTTCCCCTTCTACCTTTATAAACTGCCATTTTCCTATGTTCCACATCTGTCTCCTCTCTAGCCAGAGGCGGGCCTCTGTTCCTCTGGGACAAACACCCCTTCCCCTCCTCCGTCCTCTATCTCCTGTCTTTGTCTCTTATTCCCTGCCCTCTGTCCCTCTGGGGCAAATAAATCTCCTTTGTGCTGAGAACTTGCTTTTGGGGTGTCCTGGGCTGAAACCTTTCAACCCTGAATGAAGCCGGTCCAGACTGGCTTCAGCGCCTCAGGCACACGGGGACACCTGCTGTTCCCTGACATCTCTTCCCCTTTGCCCTCCTCCAGATGGTTTTAGCTCTGTCTGGAGTCCTCACGGGAGAGCTTCTTCCTGGCCACATCTCAGCAGATGAACAAGTCGCTTTTGTGTGTGGGTGTGGTATTGACAAGGCGCCTGGGAGGCCATGGTGTGTTTTGGACCGAGGTGTCCCGGGCTGGTGAGACACGCCATGTGGGCGGGGCGGTCTCGGCAAGTATGTTTATTTTGGGATTTGG